GGGTGGGGGTGAGGGTTCGCGCCCAGTTCCACCTCGGGCTGGAGGCGACAAGGTCCCCACCGCGCTCCCCGGCCCATCTCCTGGGCTGCGGGGAGCCAGAGGCCGGAAGAGCCCATGCTCCTCTGACGCCCACCCCTTCCTCGCGGCTGTGGTCCGGCCTACGGTGCAGAGGCCTGGCTGGGCCCCATCGCGGGCCTACACGGCCCTGGCAGGCCCCGATGGGATCCTGGAGGACAGTGCCTTGGAGACGGTGGCACTGTTGGGGAGGGGGCACGCCTTCAGAGGTGCAATGTCCCGAGGATGTCTGCATTGTCAAATCTACGCGAAGATGTTTCGAGTTTTATGTCACCTTTTTTCTTTAGGGACGCTCAAACCAGACAACTGCAAGATGCTGTCACAAATGTGGAGAAGCATTTTGGGGAGTTGTGCCAAATCTTTGCTGCTTATGTGCGGAAAACTGCCAGACTGCGAGACAAAGCAGACCTCTTGGTGAATGAAATTAACATGTATGCCTCTACAGAGACCCCACATTTAAAGCAAGGCCTGAAAAACTTCGCTGATGAGTTTGCCAAACTTCAGGATTATCGACAAGCAGAGGTATGGAGTGAGGTCACAGTCATCGTTAATGACCCAGGAAGTAGTTAAGGTTTTATAAAGATTTTCACTGTAAGCTACTTAACTGCAGTGGCCAACACACATTGACGATAAACATACATTTTTCATGTTCGGAACACCGTGTGGTTACATGAAAGCAAAGTTTTCTGTGGTTTATCTTGCTGTTTTCAATCAAAACTGTAGGGTGTTGCTGGAATGTTGAATTTACTCACTTCATTTGCCAACTTTTGTGAAGGGGTGCCTGTGTTCAGGGGGATGGTAAACACATGGGGAAGAAAACTAGTAGGACTTGAGTACTGTGTGCATTTAATGTATTACTAGAGATGGAAAATGTTAAGAATGACAATATGAAAGAACAAATTATCAATAAATAGGCAAGACTGGTTGCTTCCATGCTCTAGAAAGTTGACCAATAGGGAAGCTATGCTTTGTATCCTAGATGTAAACCGGTAGTAAGACATTGTAAAGTAAGGTTGGTCTTGTTCTTCACTTTGGCCAGTTACTTGTTCTTGTAATTGCTTTCTTTTTTAAAGTCCATTATTTCTTTTAATATTTCATAAGCACTTTCACTATTTTGTCTCAAGAACAAGATTAACTTGTTAGAGGCTGCCCAATTAGAACTCCACTGCTTTTTTCTCTTTTCTCACCAGTACACTCATCTCTCATTCTTTTTTTTTTTTTTTTTTTTTTTTTTTTTTTTTTTTTTTTTTTTTTTTTTTTTTTTTTTTTTTTTTTTTTTTTTTTTGGTACCAGGGATCGAACTGGGGACATTGTGCTTGTGCTTGCAAAGCAGACAGGGAGGAACCACTGAGCTAAATCCCCAGCCCTCATTGATTCTTTTTAGAGCCTGAAACAAATTTTGATTATCAAAAAGCTAATAATAGCCTTTGAATGGATCATTATTACAAAAACATTTAGGTACCTTTTGGAAAAATGCTGAGTTCTTATACATTAATTCTATGATAAGAAATTGTTATACATGGTACCTGGGTATGTTATGTTTCAAAACTAATTCATATTCACAGATACTTCTGAAATCCTATTTTAGCCAGTAATTTCCCCTTTCTAGAAAACTTGTGCGCTATTTATCAAAGAGCAAAGTGAACTGATTTACATTTGTTCTCCTTTTATTTCCTTTGCTTACCAAATGGTGGAGATGCTAATGAACAATGACAAAAGGTAGGCAACAAAAAGGATAACTGAAGGGGAGGGATTCTGAATAACTCTTACACTACAGAGTCAGTGTATGGATTATTAGAAATGCTGTGATAACCTATCCTGAATATTCATTGCTTTGACTTTAGAATTCCTAGTATTTAAATGCTTGTTGGGAACTTGATTTTTTTCATTTTCCTAAAATCTTTTAAAATGAAACATACATTTTGTATAAAAATGAAAATATGAAATGAAATGTAGTTTATATTACCATACATCTTTAGAAAGCACTTTTCCAGCTATAAAACTAATACATGTCCATTTTAAGCAATTAAGTACAATTTTAATATCCAAGGCATCATTTTTCTTATGTTTACATACTTACTTGCCTGTTTTTAAAAACTATTCTTTCAAGGCTATTTGCATTAGTAAAAGAATTACTCAAAATTGTTTTAAAACACTATATAAGAAAAACTAATTCTAGATTAAAACTTTAATTCTACATCATAGTTGACAGATCAGCAACACTGACAATTTATCTTCTCTAGCTTTTATGATTTAAATGGTTCTCAGAAAAAATACAGTAAATGTAGTAATTTCTTTTCTTTTTTCTTTTGCTTTTGAGGGTTTTTAAGAAAATTATTTCAGTATGCTATATTTTTCAGCTTCACTTTTCTGGAAAGTTGGATTATTACAATTCAGAGATTCTGTGAAGTATCCACTAAACACACTGAAAATGATAGCTGTAATTATTTGTGGTGTCTTAACTGTTAAGGTAAAATAGTAAGATCATTGTGTGGCAAAGATGTGCTCTGCAGAAACCTCATTTTCTTGTCATATTGTACACTGACTGCTCTTCTGTTTTTACTGTTACTGTTTTACTCAACAGTTTAATGTATTGAAGTTTAGATTCTGAGTCTTATCAAGTTACTTACAAAGATGATCATTTTACTTACAAAGATGTGTTAAAAACAATGGCATTTCAATTTAAAATATTAATCTTTACTGTAATTATTTCAAGTTAAATAGCATAGGTTTTATTTCAGTGTTTAAATTTTTATATCTCTATGTTTCTTTTCAGTTATATTTTATAATAATTTTCAATAGGTTGAAAGACTTGAAGCCAAAGTGATTGAACCTTTAAAAGCTTATGGAGCAATTGTAAAATTGAAACGGGTAAGTAAATCAATGGCAAAGAATATGAGGTTTCAAACTATCTTTTTCTGAAAAAATATATATTTGAAAAAGTGACATATTTATATATTGTGAATGATAATTCTGGTTTTTATGAATATTTTTAATGAGCTAATAAAATACGCTGTGGCAGGATGACATTTTATTGAAATTTTTAAAATATACAGTCATAAAGAATATGTGGATACTTTACTAAATGAATGTAATTTTATATATTTTTGTTTTAAAGCAGGCAATGACACTTGTACTTTATAGTGCCACAGTTCTATCTTTAAAATCAACTTTATTGAACTATAGTTTACATGCAACAAATCAGCCATTTTGTGTTCACTGGGTTCTGACAAGTGTATGTCCATATAACCACCACCACAATCAAAATCATAGAAATTTTATGGTTGCAGTTTTGCATTGAATTATGCCATTATTTTGAGAGAATATTTTTAAAAACACACATGCTGGGGCCGGGGATTTAGCTCAGTGGTTCCACCGCCTGCCTCGCAAGCACAAGGACCCAAGTTTGATCCCCAGTACCAAAAAAAATAAATAAAATTTAAAAATAATAAAAACACACATGCTGACACCCACACTAGACAGACACACATTAATTCTGTAGTACTTAAATTCTTGTGGTAATAGTACCTTAGATCAAATGAGCAGCTTTCTTCCATTCTTGCAACACAATGTATTTTATTCTTAAATTAGAAATCTTTGACCAAAAAAATGCATTTGCAGGATGATCTCAAAGCAGCGTTAACAGCAAGGAATAGAGAAGCTAAGCAGTTGACGCAGTTAGAAAGAACTCGTCAGAGAAACCCATCGGATCGGCATGTAATTGTATCCTTTGATTTTTGGTCTTTAAAAAGTTTGTAAGGTATGCAGACAGAAGTAAATGTATATGGAAGTTATATGTTTCAAGTTTATGTAGATCATTTTAATATACATGTTGAAATGAAACACCTAATTTAGGAGTTCTCACTACAAAAATTAGCTGATTATATATAAGGCGATTACACCACCAAACTCAATACTTTTAGTTTTCCATAATAGACTTTACAAAAACAAAACAAAAATCCCCCACTCATAAATGCAGATGTTTTCACAAATTCAAAATTCTGAATTTCTTCAGTGTGATGGCTATGTATTAATTATGAAATTAAAAATCTATCATTAACGTGAATGTCAATGTCCTCTGCCCCACTTTTGGGAAACAGAATCCTTCAATAATTCCCTCCACCCTTAAATAATCAAAACTTACATAAAACCATAATTATGATTTTCAACCAAAGACCCTCAGGACATTTAAGAGTATAATTAAATCAATCACACCTGGACACAAAGGGATCTAAATAGGAGGCTACTATAAGAAGGTCTTTTAGTAAACATAGCTTTCTTAACTAGAATGTACACTGTTCAAGATTAACATATATATATATATAAATATATAGAGATATGAATGTATATTAGATCCTAAGTGCTAGCAACTGGCAGGACTGTAGAAAGCACTAACTCATCCCTATTGCTTTTTTTCCCATTCCTTCTTAAATGTATCTACTTCCTTAAGGTTACTGCTTAGCTCAACCAGAAACCACCAGGACTGGCACATTTAGTTTCATTTGAGGTTTCAGAACACCTCTGTTCCTAAGGGGAACCCTTGAGCTAGGCCATTGCCTGGTCTTCCTTTGGACCAAAGGTACATAAGGCCAACCTGTACTAAACAATCAGGCAGCCATAAGGCTGAGAATGCCCATGGAAGGCTGAGACGGGTGAATGTAGGCTGTTGTTGAGGCTTAAGATCTCAAACTGGAGACTGTTGAAAGAGTACATATTTTAAGTAAGCCAGACCAATCAGAATGCTGGAAATTTCATGACTGACAACTAGGTATCAAGGCAGAGGCCAAGAAGAGTCACTAGTGTTTAAGAATTAAACCAGAAGCCAGGTGTAGGAGTGCACGCCTATAATCCCAGCACTCAGGAGGCTGAGGCAGGAGGATTGCTGTGAGTTCAAGACCAGCCTGGGTTACAGTGTTTCAGAGCAGTCTGAACTACACAGTGAGACCCTGTCTCAAAAAACAAACAAACAAAAAAGCCAGGTTTGGTGGCTCGCACCTGTAATTCCAGCACTCGAGAGGCTGAGGCAGGAGGATCGCTGTGAGTTGAGACCAACCTGGGCTACATAGTGAGTTCCAGTTCAGTCTCAACTGCATAGTGAGACCCTGTCTCAAAAAAAACCCCAAAACAACCAAAAAAAGAATTAAGCCAGAGATGGGCCAGGGATGTAGCTCAGCGGTGCAGTGCCTGCCTGGCAAACACAAGGCTGAATTCGATTCTGGATAACAAACAGAAGAATTAAACCAGAGACCAAAATTGTTTTGTTCCTGGGGAAAGGGGTATATGAAGGTAGGCAAAACAAAACATCTGGAATCTTGAGCAGTGGTGACTGATCAAGAGTACAGATATTGACTCTCACAGAAATGGTTGTATTCCTAGAAGTTTTTCTGACAGACGCTCTGTCAACACTGCTGTGAAACCAGTCTTACAGCATAGATGAAATATGTCTGTGGGTTCAAAATTGAGGGAAATGAAACAAAACTGTTGCCACAGGTGAACTAATTTGCTCACTGGGTAAGATCTAAAAGTTGTGGATTTTGACCACTTGAGACTAGAAAATAAAGGACAACATATATTTATATATATACTTACTCATTGAAATATAAAAAATATTCAATCATAGCATTATAGTATTTTTAACAGGATAGACTATTAAAATTCAGCTGACTTTATTCAGAAGTATGTTGAAGATTATTCTATATGCAAAACAAAATGAAGTCCCTTTTGGTTCCCTCCACCTGCTAAACCCTGAAAACCTTGGATGACTTCTGACAGCTTCCTGTAACATGGTCTGACAAATAGCCGTCTAGCTCCCCCTTTTGTAACATTTGAAATGTATACAAAAATAGATAAAGTTGTAAGTGAATTTATTTTTCAAGTGCTTTTTATCTTGAAATTGTGATTAACCCAGTTTTGAGTATAATTCTATAGGAGTATGTTTTTAATTTATTGAAGTTGTTCTATTCTCTTTGAAATGCATTTTTTCCTTTATGAAAAATTTCAGTCACAGGTGGGTAATAAAAAGTGGTGCAAGAAATGGATCCCATCGTAAACCTTTTTACTTAATTTCAGTTTATACACGTTCATGACAAAGCAATGACTGTCACAATACTGCATGTCACCGAACTTTGATAGCAAATGCAAGTGTTTCCTCATAGTTATTAAATGATGGTATATGAGACTTGAGCAAGTATACTAGCATAAAAATCAACTTTGTTAGGAATAATTTAGTCAGAAAATTTGGCTATGTTTTAAAACCTGTTACTATTTTGAAAAACATCTTTTATGATTTCTTTTAAAATCTCTCTCGCTTTTTAAAAAAACATTTTAAATGTTTCAGGGCAACTATTATCCTAAAAAAAAGAGAAGCTTAAAGAGTATATGTGATTAAACTGGCAATCTCTGCACTTAATATGACTACTGTCACCGTATTTGGCTGTTCTTGAAATGCAACTAGAGTAACCTAAGAACCAGCTTTACATTTTTATTTAATTGTATGTGGCAGGTGGCCACCATATTAATTGCACAATACAGATTTAGTATGAGTACATGTCAGCATATATAAAGCAAAACATTAAACTTTCCACCTTATTACTAGTGTATACGTATTTTTGTAGTAAGTGTAAGCCAACAAAAACAATACACTTTTTTGTTAAATCATGAGACTCTACAAGTAGAAATCCCATGCTGAAATAATTTTTTGTAGTGTATATTCTACTCCACTGGATGGACTATTATAAAATTAGAAATATTTAATGGAAAAAGTAAGCAAGGTGGTAGATTTAAATTACTATATAGACTTGTTAGCCTTACATACTGTACTTCGGTGTTGTAATGATT